ACGGTTCATCAGCCGAAGAGGAATGGTGCAACAGTTGCATTCTGACAATGCCACCAACTTCCGAGGAGCACAACACGAGTTGCACCAGCTATATCAACATAATCGAGTGGCATTTCATACCGCCGAACGCACCCGAGTTCGGTGGCTTGTGGGAGGCCGCTGTAAAATCGACAAAGAGACATTTAGTCAGAGTGGTTGGCTATTCCAAATTGTCATTTGAAGAGCTAACAACCATACTCACCGAAATCGAAGCAGTTCTCAACTCTAGGCCACTGTTTTCGATTTCCTCCGATCCAGCCGACATAGAGGTAATTACGCCAGCTCATTACTTGATTGGTAGACCACTTACAGCCGTTCCGGAACCATCCCTTGAAGACATCCAAATTAATCGTCTGAAAAGATGGGAACATCTACAGAAGATGCGTGAGGATTTTTGGAAATCTTGGTCCAGAGATTATTTGTGCAGCCTTCAACCGAGGTCAAAAAATACCAAGACGACATCCAACCTTCGCCCAGGAATGGTAGTTCTACTGGAGGACAAAAATCAACCACCGCTTAACTGGAAGCTAGGCCGCATCATGCAGGTATTCCCAGGGCCAGATGGATTGGTCCGAGCCATCGATGTGTCGTCTAACGGAGCTACCTACCGACGACCGATCAACCGGATCGCAGTTTTGCCGATTGAGGACAACGAGCCACCAACCCTGAGTGATGTTGAATCTACGAGTCAACCGGGCGGAGTATGTTCCGTGCGAAACAAGCTATAGTAGCTTCCAAAACACAACGCAAACGATCGTCATTCAAACCACCCATCGTGGCAACAACGCACTCCAGGTAGAATTTTAAGGACACCGAACGAGAAGGGAAAAGCACTATATACTTCTCTTCAACATGCTGCTGCATGCTGCTCGCCGTAGCGCACGGCAGGCAAGTATATTGGCGTTGACGGCGACTCTGTAGCTCTTTACTCCTATGAGAAAATCCATAAGCAAACGTCAGACTGTGCGTGAAACATGGCGGACTTTGTACTATCCTTTCACTCCACCGAAAACTCCCATAAGAAACTGTCTAAATTTGCTGGAAGAGCAAATTTTTCGACGGTGCCGTCAACGCCAATAGGACCAAAAGTAGCAAAATACGATAGGACGACTGCTATAAAAGCGACACAGCCACCCAGCGTTTTTTTTTTTGAGTATTATTCCGACCACCATCCAAGTTACATCCAGTGAAGTAAGAAAGCAATCTGTAGAGAAATAGTGAACTAGTTAGAATAAAAGTAGTGTTAAGGTGATAATTTGATTAGTGCGTTGAATCTTTCAATCCGAACGAAATACAGTCCACTTCCAACCCACCGGAGTTGGCCACGGTAAACGCGCCAACAATCGTAATCACGGCGTAATATCGATCTCCTCTCCACTTTTGTTTCGACGCCTTCTCGGCTCTCTCGACAACTGTCCTAATTGCATCCACTTTTGCTCTTATTTTTCGAAATCCGAACTGCCTCTCCGACAATCCTTACTCACTATCCGTGCATTTCATCAGCCTGTTTAGGATGATCCTTTCCTAGAGTTTTTCGAGTGTATCCAGCAGGCACGAGTTGCTCGTTGGTGACTTCGTCGTTATCTCCCTCTACGTCTCCTTACGATGTAGGTGGCAAAGGTCATTGGATCGTGCTTCGAGAAAAGTCCTTCCACGATGACTTTCAGGTTCTCTAAGCACATTTCAGCGGGCATGACTTGACATCTGATTTTTGTTATCAAGACACTGTATGCGTCGTTTGCAGCAGTGTCTCGACCCAGTTCCAGTTGACAGTTTGACTTGCTCTGCTTTATCTATTGTTTATGTGCTCGGAACATTCCTCTACGTTCCTCTCTGTCTGCTTCTGTTCTTGCTCTCTGAACACGTCTTCTGGCTCTGAGACAACTAGCGCGGAGATTGCTAATTTCCTCGTTGCAGCAGTAAGCTGGAGGCCGTCTGTTATTTAACTCCAGTTTCCTCGGCATGGTCGTGTCACATGTACTCCCTGACGATTCTGTCAACTCGTCTTCCACTTCAGGTCACAAGTTCTCGTCATCTGTACTGCCACAGGATTCCGCTGCAGTCCGCATAAAGTGACGTCGATAATGGATTCCCGGCCATCAGCTCTTCGGTAAGTCCAACCAGCGTCTCGTGGAACTGCTCCATCGTCCATCGGGTGCATAGCAACAGCATATGAATATTCCGTTAATTTTGACGATCACGAAACCTTCTTCTTGAATGGTGTATCCACCCATTGGGTTTTTGATCTAATTTCCGTCCTACTAAGCACAACCCGCGCTTTATTTTTCTTTTCTGAACGAGTTTAAACAAAAAATGGAATATTTATATCAAAGATGACTTGCAAATTTATTCACCTTTCCATACGTACCGTTGGATTTGATAAAGAGTCACAAATTGTTGAGATATTGTCTAAAATCTAACACTGCTTCTTGATTCTAAATTCGTTCTACGAGTTTCAATTCCGTCCTAACGCATTGAAACGCCATTAGATTTTCTTCGTCCTACGGATAAACGTAGAAAAAGGGGATTCGCTAGGAGCGCTTCTTTTGTTTTGAGAATAATGAGCATAAATATTCATATAATGCGCTCTAACAGGATTTATGTTGTAGTTAATGAACTAACGCATCGGAACAAACCCATTATTGATTTGTGCACGGTGAAATCATTGATATTATTGATCTTTTCTGATCGATAGAACGGAAATGGGCGATTACGACGAAGTAGCGCTCTACCCTACCTTGCAGCCATCCCAGCTCTATCCGTCACCTAGTTACCTTTATCGGAAGGGACTCGATACAGCTGTGCAGTGTCGCAATAATTGAGTTTTATTTGAGTTACCTCCAGGCATGGAAAATCATTTGCATTCATTTCGTGCATTCAGTTACATTCATTTGCCTCTAACTTTTTTCTTCAACAGCGTTCCGCAAAATGATGTATAAAGCTTTTATAGGTTTTATTATTAGCTACAACTTTTGTCAACAAGTCAAATTCATATCTCTTATGCATGACGAACCAGAGCGAACAGAAGCCACTACTGCTTTTCAGTGAATGTATTTTACATTCACTGAAAAACAGTAACAAGTTCTGCCCGCTCTAGTTCGTGATGCATAAGAGATACAGTTTTGAGTAATGAGCAAAAATTGTAGCTAATAACAAAACCTACAAAAGTTCCATACATTATTTGGCAGAATGCTGTTGATGAAAAAAGTTAGAGGCAAATGAATGTAAATGAATGTATGAAATGAATGCAAATGATTTTCCATGCCTGGTTACCTCTGTTATTGTTGCGACAAAACAATTAAGTGTCATTTGGAGTGAAATGCTTGAGAATTCATGCTCAAAACTAAAAAGTTCAGCAAAATCTTCAGGCTGACAAAAGCTGGCAAAATCGGGGGAAGACAAAATCGGGAGCTGACCAAATCGGGAAAGCACTGTAAATAAAAATGGACACTGTCGTCTTTGTTTTGAGAAGGACGATAGCGATGAAAGCGGTCGCTGGTTCCACCTATCATGTGTACTGCCCTTTTCAGTATAGTTGTTCCATTCGTTAAAACAGCAAGCTGAGAAAAACGCTGTTAAAGATTTGTTTTTTCTTCATGGGCTCTTCTGGATGGGACAACATAGGTTTGGTATTTTTCCCGACATTTTCTGAACAAATTACGAAAGTTTTCGTATACATTGTAAAGTGATGGTACTTGACAATCGATTCCAATAATTCCCATGTATCACTCATTTTCGCCAAAAATGATAATGGGACAGTTATGCCGCACCTTCTTAAACGTCGACCACCCGGCTCGTTTTTGCGCGTTCCAGACTTTACCATAGCGTAGCGTATTTTTCTAAACCAAATACTTGGTCGGTCACAACTTCTAAACCCTCAAATTCTAGGTCCGGACTCGGCAGCGACGACGAAGAAGGTGGCGTTGAAATATAAGCGAAATCCTAACCTCTGCATCCCGGACGTCGCTGGCAAACTCAATGTCCCCCATACTACTGTGCAGCGGGCCAAGAAACGAGCCGGGTTGTCGACGTTTAAGAAGGTGAAGGTGGCGAACCGAGATTACAAACAAAACACGTCGGCAAAGCAGCGGTCCCGAAAGCTGTATTCGAATCTGCTCACAAAGTTCGACTGTGTCGTCATGGACGACGAAACTTATGTGAAGGCGGATTTCAAGCAGCTTCCGGGACAGGAGATTCATACCGCATCAGGAAAAGGGAAAGCGGCTGAAATTTTAAAAACCATCAAACGATCGAATTGCAAAAATTGCCTCCTAGAAGGTGAATGATAATTTGAATATAACGTATCCAAAACAGTTTGTAAGCAAAGAATTACAATTTTTATAATGTTTTGTAGGAATTATTTTAAATCCAAGATGAGAATGTTAAAATTTTGAAATAAATATATGTTTATCGCTTTAGAATTTTAGAATGACCTCATTCCTACGGTAAGTAAACATATAGTCACGCCGTTTTGGGCCGTCTTTTTACCATGAATTTGAAGGCATTGACGTAATATTTTTTTTTTAAATCTAGGCCTAGCGTAAATAAAATAAATATTGTTCAATGGTCAAATTCTAGTGGTAGGAAACGTTACCTTAACCATCTCGAATAATGTGATCCAATGTTCGACAGAAACTATCTGTTATTCCAAACAATTAACCATTTCATTTGAGCAGTTGCAAATGACGTTTTCTACCACTCGAAGTTCGAAATAAAACAATATTTTGAGATTTTTTTCTTCTAGAGAAAAGTAGCCAAAAGTGGTGCGTTCCATAATAAAATAGTAATTAATTGGTCCAGTTTTGTGAAATCACTGGTACACTGGTGGTAGCTAAAACTGCTTGACGAAGTGGTACATTCCAGCGCTTCGTCATTGGTGTAAAATGATCTCCGGAACCTCTACCGATAACATGGCCAATTTCTCATTTTTTCCATCACATTCAACAGCTAACGTCATGGTCTACATTAGCGCAAGAATGTTTATATTAGCAAATAAATCCGAAAAGTCTTTTACTCACCTTGTACCTAGATCCTCTCGGTTTAGCCATTACTAACCGTTGTACCCGCCCGGAGGTAGCATCATGGCAGGTGTAGCCCCTCCGGCGTAAACGAATCCCGGCGGATAATGGACACGTTCCAGCTGAGAAGCAGTGGGATGTTGATATTGCAATGGATGCTGCTGGTGTTGTTGTGGTAGCTGCTGCTGCTGTTGATGCTGAATTTGAAGCGACTGGGACGATTCGGAAGAGAGGATTGAGTCATGGCTAGGTTCCAGCACATGTGAGAGTCCACCGATCGGAGGAGCTGAACTGGGATGAGGCTGTTGCACTGGGGTGCTTGCCGTTGCCGGTGTAGTTATGGAAGCTACAGCCACACCTGCATCATCCTCTTCTTGTTTGGTTACGGTGGTCTTGCGTGATCGGCTGCTTGTTTTGTACAGCTTGACTCCCTTAAACTCCATGCCATGCTCGCGTATTTTGTGCTGGGTGAGCATGTAGTTGAACCTAATAGTTTAAAATTCAAAAGCAAATGTGATGGGTACCTAATAAAATGCAATACAAATCATCCACAGCTCTTACCTATAACCAGCTCCGCAAATCTCACAGGTAATCCTATCACCAGTGTGCTTCATCACGTGCAATCTGAGCTGGTTCGGCAGCAGGAATGCTTTACCACAGTATGTACACTTGTGCTTCAGCGAACTCTCGTCGGAATGCTTGTTCTTCATGTGCCTCTGGAGTCCCTTCCGCCAAGCACACTTGATTCCGCAAATATTGCACACAAACGTTTTCTTTTCATGCAACGATTCAATGTGCATTTGTAGTTCCCTCCGGATGTAGTATTGCTTTCCACAAATGTTGCAAACATAGTCTTTCTTATCGCTATGAATTTTCAGATGGGAGGTAAAATTTCCCTTATGGACCAAAATCTTCCCACAAATCGGACAGATACGACTAGTCTCGCCAGGGCCTGACGAAGATTTTCGTGTTTTTTTCTGGGAAGATGCTTTCATTTTTTGCTTCTTTTCCGCTGCCGGGAACTCATCCACTACATCCAGTATTCCCAAATCTTCTCTGATTTTGATTGTCCTTTTCGGCTTAGGACCAGGTTTTTTCTTCGGAGGTTTTCTTTTAATAAGTGGTTCATCATCAGAATCCATCTCCGAATCACTATCAGAGCTTATGCTAGAACGAATATCGCGTTTCAAATCAGCAGTTCCCTCGTCGTCCTGTCTACAATCTTCTTCATCCGAATGTGACGAGTCGGAACTAGCTCGGTCATCATCCATCAGGATGAAATCATCTTGATCATTTTCCTCAATCTCAACAATAAACTCTTCAGACTTAATATCGGATATCTTTTGATCACTCTCCAATCTTTCGTCTAGAAAATCTGTTTCATAGTGATCCGAGAGCTCATCTTCCTTCTCCTGTTTCAAATTGATGTTTTCCAACAGTTGGCAGTCTGGCTCCAACTTCATATCTTCATTTTGAACGAACATCTCATCCAATTTACGTTGCGTTTCCTCGCATGTTTTCACAAAATCAACAAACGATTCAACCGTTTCCATACAATTTACGCAAACACCTTTCGGAAGATCCTCTCTCGAAAAATATTGTCCCAAGCAGAACTTCATAACATCTTCTCCATCCTTCAGGTGGTCCAATTGATCATCCAGGGGACGCTTTTCTTTCCGTCCACAAAGCCGACAGTACACCTTGGGATTAAACTCCGGCTTGGCTTCCCGCGGCCGCCCTCTTCCATCGATCTTCTGGTTCGCCAGCTCCTCCGGCGTCGGTTCAATCAGGTGCATGGTGGGCCAGGCGTCCGGAAACAACCGCGGCATCTTATAGCTCCGATCGATATACTTCTCCTCAAAGTGTTTTTCGCAGACCCGCGTATTCTTGGGAATGGTTTTATTTTTCCGTCGCTGCGCCCAAAGCGACTCGCTCCACCAGCGCTGCAGCCCATCGGATTTGTAGGCGCTCAGGAACACCACTTGTCCGACCTGGGAATGGCAGCCCGGTATGAAGCAATCCCGGCGGGAGTTTTTCTTTTCCATTTGCGAGTAGCCAATACACAGTCGGTCAAACACGAAAAGTTGTTTTGCACAAAAATTTACACAAGAAAAAACAAAAACTGTATCGAATTAAATATTTTGGCTTGTTTTCGCGACGAAAGCTTTTTTCTTCGTCGACGTTCAGCTGTCAAAACCAAATTGTCATTAAATGACTCCACCAACAATTGAAAAGGGCCAATCAGTTTTTCTCCTCCATGTTTGACAAAATTATACACTCAAAAAATATTGGAAGCTAAATAGTATGAAAGTTATTGTCGCTAGACTTGAAAACCGAAATGACCAACTCACGACAATCGATTTTACTCTTGTTGTGTACGTTAAAGATAACGTCGCATCTAGTGCGCACTATAGCGCATCATTTGACGAATACAGCGCACTAGATGCGACGTTATGTTTAACGTACATAACGAGAGTAAAATCGATTGTCGCGAGTTGGTCATTTCGGTTTTCAAGTCTAGCGACAATACGCTAAATCGCAACTCTCCCTGCCAAGGGGGGGAGGTGGCTGTCAAATACGAACAATCGTCGCCTACCTCGCATAGCTGGTTCCAAACGTAAACAAGCCATAAGAAAACTACAAACCGGCACCAGTGGGGTAGTGGTAAGCGTGACTGCTTTTCTCACCCCAATGGGTCTGGGTTCAATCCCAGCCGAGGTCGGTGGGATTTTTCTGAGGCATAAAAATCTTCCTTCGGAAGGGAAGTAAAGCCGTTGGTCCCGCCCCATGTGTCATGTGTGTTGAATGGGTGCGATATCCTACGCAGGTGTGGAAGCTCCCTTCCTGCACATTCGATTGCCGTCAATGGATGGCAATCGATGTCCGGTGGTGATTGGCACTAGATTGCGGAACAGAGACCGACGTTAAATAAAGGAAAAAAAAGAGACCGACGTTAAATAAAGGAAATAAGACGAAGAAGAAGAAACCTACAGGGATTGTTTACGTTTGGAACCAATTTCATACAAGAATGATCAGTCGAGTGATCAGTAGACTGATTTGACAGCACGTCCCACCCCAGATTCAAACAGCTAACAAAAAAAATCATCTCACTAAACAAGCAAATCGCACCACCAATCCGAACCCGACTGGAGAGGGGGGACGCCCTAATAAAAATTGTATGGTTAATTTGCTTAACGACGTGTTCTGGGTATCATCCAAACCATTTATGGAATAGTTCAATGATTTGGGTTATCGTTCGTTTATGGTTATTTTTTATTAGGGCGTGCTGTCAAATCAGCCTACTGATCATCTTGTATGAAACTGGTTCCAAACGTAAACAAACGCTGTAGGTTTCTTATGGCTTATTTACGTTTGGAACCAGTTATGCGAGGTAAAGAGCCTGAATTTATAAAGAGACGACATGTCAAAATTGGAACAATCGACTATCTGTCAAAGTCATACGAAAAGTCATTCCAATCGAGCAGAAGACCTGTCAAATGGATAAGATGTCGTCTCTTTATAAATTCAGGCTCTTTAATGCGAGGTAGTCGACGATTGTTCGTATTTGACAGCCACCTCCCCCCCTTGGAGAGGACTCATTGAATCACAGACAAACAGACACAGCACACGTATGAGTTTAAAATTGGATTTCTCTCTATATATATATATAAAATACTATTTACATAAATCCAAAATCCGAAGCAACTCATTGCACAGCCGCTTAAATCAACTCAAATTTATGTTTCGTTCAATCAAATTCGCGCAAAAACGCAAAAACGTAGGTAACTCAGACTGAGTTTTCTAGGAAAAACTTTTCGAATATGAGGAAAATCGAGAGAGGTTTCACTCAGTCTATTAATTCTATATTAGTATAGACCGATGGCTATTGGCTGCTTGGTAGTAATAAATCAATACCAAATTAGAGAGAGAACCGTCCTACGCGGACGTAAAAAATAACTCACAGGCTGAGTCAAGTTTACTCAAAAGTTGATTTACTCAAAGTTGCGAGCTACTTTTTATGTCCGTGTACAGTCATCGATTTATTTGGTTAATTTCTAGCGTTCAGAATCATAAGGGTCTAACAGTGATGACCGATTCTCTTCATCGATTTTCTCATTAAGTGAACATATTTTCCTACAGTGCAGTGAAAAGTTGTATTTTTGCTAGCATTTCACTAGCAATTTGCTAACGTACCGAAAAATGTTAATCCAACCAAGCTATTAACAAAATCTGTGAAAAGAATCGATCATTGCCTTCAGGCTCTTATGATTCTGAACCCTAGAATTATTTATATACATTCGCAATTACTCGATGCATGGAAATGGAAACATACAATAAATGTATTGAAACATTCGAAATTTGACTACAAACTATCAGCATTCAGCTCTCGATCTTCGATCTGTGCGCCGTCCTGTGCATCATCATTTACTTCCATGGGCTTCCGTGGTTTTGACTTGACGGCACTAATCCCCAGCCAATCCAGTGACTGAGCTAGTGGATGATCCTGATGCTTCTTCGCCCGAAGATGGGCTATAAGATTCTTCCTAAGGGAAAATTTGCGCTCACAGATCGGGCATTGGTGTGCTTTTCCATATTCGTGCTCCAGTACATGGATATCGTAGGTTTGCTTACGTTTGAAAATGTCACCGCAGATTGTACAACGGTACTCGGTCGGAAAATGCGCCGAAGATAAATGGAAGAACATTGCTGTGGTAACCGTTCCACAAAGGTGGCATTTTTTCTTTTTAGCACCTTGCTTTTCTTCTTGTCCCTCGACAATGCTGTAGTACTCTGTCCAATCCTTCTTAACAACATATTCCGGATTTTCGATATGTTTCTTCTCGTGGGATCGGTGTGATGACTCTGATCCATACGTCTTTGGACAGTAACTACATTTGAACACCTGGTTCGAATGATACGTTTTTATGTGCATTTGGACACTGTCCAATGATGCAAGTTTCTTATTACAAATAGAGCACTCATGTTTTTTTAGCTTTTCGTGCTTGCGTTGTATGTGCAATCGTAGTTTCCGCCGCTCCTTAAAAACTTTACCACAAATCTCGCAGCTCGCTGCAGTGGTATGCAGTTTCATATGATGCAGAAGTGAGGCCTTGGAAGCATACACTTCGCCACAGTATTCACACGTCGACTGGCATTGGGCATCGCCATCCATATGATACGTCTGCACGTGTTGCGCAAGACTTCGTTTGTCGCTAAACCGCTTGTCACAATATGCACACTTTTCCGGATTCAAATGTTGTCTCATATGAGCATTCAGTCCTTGAACGCCTTTAATAACAACCGTCTCCATAACACACTCTGGGCAAGTGTAAGGCACTTTATCCGTATGACTACTGTTCAGATGCGCAATTAGAGCTTCGGGCGATCCGTGCGACTCACTTTTGCAAATATAACATTTGTAATCGTGTAATCGAGGTCGATCTACAACCTTCTTGCGTGGGCGTCCAAGTTTCCGCTTACCTTTAGCATCCTTCTCTTGCTTTGTTCTACGACGATATTTTTTTACCGGTGGATCCTTATCTTCATTATCATGCTCTGTTGGCTTCCATGCATCGTCCTCCTTGGCAATGTCTTCTTCAATTTCAATATTAACAACGCTCTCATCATTTTTACCATTGACTTCGTTTTCTTCGCACAGTTCCTCATCTAGGTATTCCTCCATAACTTCCTGTTTAACGCAGATATCATCAACTTTCCTAAAAGCAGAACATAATTCCTAAATATATTCAACATAAGTTAACGCACACTTACAAATCATGCGTAAGGACCTTCTCCAGCAATTCCATGTCCATCTCTTCTTCTTCTTGTTTGATTTCGATCAGCAACGTTCCGGCCAGCTGATTTCTTAGCTTTAGATCATTTTTCCGGATGAGCTCGATTGATTCGTGAATCTTCAGCAGGTTGGTGACACACCATTTGCAAATCTTCTGTGGCATTCCGTCCTCGGGTTCGATCTTTAGGAAAAATACATTCAGCATTACGGCTCTGCTAAACATCGTTCTTCGCATAAATGATTGTGGCCAAAGTAGTGTTCAGAATCATAAGGGCTCATTGATTTTCGCTTTTGTTAATAACTTGTTGGACTAACATTACAAAACTAGGTCCTAGGCCATGTTAGGACATTCCCATATATTTTCAGCAGACGAATCGATGAAAGAAACTATTATCTATCTTCTAATACAACAAACACGACACGAAACGATTATGATTATGTTTCAAGTCATTGGCCATTAATATACTTCTATGTGCGAGGTTTCCACTTACCTCTAGCCGTGATACATCGAAAATTATCTGCTGCAAGGAGAGTGGGTACTCTTGGCGTTGCTCAAACAGGGAACGCATACGGCTTTTTTTCTCGCAACAGAGACGACATATTTTCTCCACGTCCAGATTGCTCATTTTTTAATATTATTACTCTTAATAATACGGAATAATAATAAATTATTTTAAACTTTCCTTCTGCGAATTTTCACGTACTTCTCTACACTATAGATATTTGCGAACGGGTTGAAGAGCGACTAGTTGACAAATAAACAACATCGGCATGAATCCGATCGACTTTGTTCATTTGTCAACTTGTCACTCCCAACATAGTTTACCCTTTTTTGGGTATGTTCACTGATCTGGGTGGATTCTACCCAAATTTGAGTAGTTTTGAAATAGCGTGTACACTACCGGCGCCGCTTTGCAGCTTTTTTTCCAAAATGAGTAAATTTCGTGGAAAGTAAATGCTTTGAGTCAATTGAATTCAGTCACTGACTGTTGGAATTGGCCGCCCGCATAAACGCGAACCATCACATGACCTTACCGATAATGGTTATAAATTGTTTATAATCCCTGCTAAACTTCAACTGAAATGGTTATGGTACTTTACATGAACGTTTGTGTGATAAAGTTTTAACCTTATGTATTATGGTTTTTTGGAAGCGGACCTTACAAATAATGGGTTGTTAAGAACCATTACCATTCCAAATTCTTGTTTTCTCCATAGATTTTCGGAAAGAGAACTATATTAGAACGTTTTTACTTATGGTTTGAGAACATGAATGGTTATGGTTATGGTAGTCAGTAAGGTCCATTAATGGTTTTGTATTATCGCTCAACTTTACGTGAAATATATCGTGAATTGGTAATCA